ACACACACACACACACACACACACACACACACACACACACACACACACACACACACACACACACACACACACAGGCTTTGCACTCATCTGCAAAACCAATCGTTGTAATTGATCACTTGCAAGATGAAACAAACCAAAAACAAACTACTCCTCTGCTTTTAATATATTATTTTAGCCTCCTTAATACTTGATGTCCTTTAGGTTATCCATGGAGTTTCCTTATTTTAAGACTAAACAAAGGGTGATGATAACAGTTGTGTAGACAAGGCCATAGCTTATCTGTACCCTGGGTGCTGGATGAGAGCGGTTCTGCCGTCTCCGACCTCTGGACCTACCCTGCTCAGAGGAGGCCTGTGCATCTTAGCCATCAACCCGAGATTCTGATCACGGAAGTAGGGCGTCTGGAAGTCCCCACCCATGTAATCCACCGTTTGCATCAGATTAGTTTGGCCACAAGAGGACGAGGAGGAGGAGCTTGTTCCGAGCCTGTAGTGAGGAGCCCCGGGGAGCCCACAGTCCAGCGTGGTGCACCCTCCTGGGCCTGCCCCATGGAATGACATGGCTACGTCCTGAGACCCAGAGCTGTCACTGTTGGGGGTGGGAAGGATGCTGCTGCTCCATATGTGGGTCTGAAAGTAGTGGCCGTTGGCGTAGTGGGCCATGGGACCGGGCATGCTGTTGTTGACAGGAGGRGACGGGGTGGGCCTCTCCACAGGAGGTTTCAACGAGTATTGCTGACCCAAACACACCTCTGCAGGGTAGCCCATGCCTTTGAAACTGAAGGATGGGTCTCTGGAAGGCTGCTTGCAGAGATGTGTCCCACCGTTCTGAATGTGGGGGCCGTGAACCAGCTGATGGTGACTCCAGGAGCGCATTTTCTGCTGCTGCTGCGTGCTGTGCTGCAGCTGCTGATTCGGTTGTGGAGGAAGATGCTGTTGCAGGTGTTGCTGCTTCGGATCCGTGTGGTTAGAAGGCAAGTGGTTCACAGCAGCCGWACTGAGTGAGGGGTGGGCCCCAATCGAGGCTGTGGCTTTTTCTTGAGGGCCCATGATGCAGTGGCGYGGCGGGAAGCCGGGAGTGGGAGGGTTACTGTGCATGGACACCCTGGAGCACGCGCTGATGAGCAGGTTGCGGCTGATGGGGCTGGGGTTGGCGATCTGGCCCTCGCACATGGAGGCGGCACCCGTGCCTTGGACCCGAGCTTGGCAGAACTGGTTGAGCTGATGCACGATGGTGCTCAGGTCGGGCTGCCGGCCCGGGTGCAGCCCGGTGGCCATGGAGAGCGGAATGGTTGAGGTAGAGACGGTAACGTTGGGCGGAGCTTCGCCATCCGGCAGCTTCCTGCCATCCTGCAGGCCGAGCGGCGGCKGCTGCTGCTGGAGGTGCTGCTGCTGAAGCAGGACAGTGGGGGGTCCCTGCGGGTGGCTGAGACCTGGGTGCTGAGACAAAGTCTGGAATCTGGGTGGGGCCTGAGGATGCTGGGCCAAAGTGGGCGGGTGTCTGAGGCTCTGCTGCTGAGGGAGGGGCAGATGTAAAGTCTGAGGCAGGTCCTGTGGTTGAAGGGGGATGCTCTGCGGGGGCCGGGGCAGGCTGGGCAGAGATGGGTGGTGGTTTAAAGTGCTGGTTGAAGCCACTTGATAGGGTCCGGTAGGAGGGTTCATAATGACTTCAGAGTGCAAGTGAGCCCGGCTACCATCAAAATCTTTGAGGATGCCTTTGACTGTGGGCACCTTGACGATGGCGAGGAGTCCTGTCTTGGCACTGGCCTGAGAGGACGGGTAAGGACTGTAGCGCTGGCCTGAYGTATCCAGCCCGTTGACCGTTCGGCGCACGTGGTTTCGCTGGGGGACCTTGACGCTGTTGGGAAAGATCTTGATGGTGAGGGGGTTGTTGGCTACCTTCTTAGCATACGCATCCAATTCTGCAGGGGTTGGAAACGGAGCAGATCTCATCCTTTGTATGGTGTCCCCTGAGGCAGAGACGGGACAGATTGAGACAGAGTTTGGTAAGGTGGAGAGAAGAAAGAAAGGAAGAGAATGAGATTAATTCAGTGAGAAGTTCACATGGCCCCAAAAAACACACAAGTAGAAAAGTGAGCAGCTTAGATGATTCAGAAATAGTTTGGTTTTCATCTCACAAAGACCCAGAGTGGACAAAAAAAGATCTTTCCTCTTGCATTTACAGCTGAGTTATTGCAGCTGACACATTCCCAGTCCAAAAGAAAATCCGGTTAAGTGCAATTGTTGGTGGCTTTTAGGTCAAAAGCTTTTACTGGCCTTAATTGACGCATGCAGGCCAAGAATAAGTGCTGAGGGTGGGCTGCAATGTTGCAAGTGAATCACAAGCCAAACAAAGAATAAGAGAGGCAGTAATGGTCCCCTGTGKCTGCCAGGGGGGAAAAATAAAAAGAGAAACAGAACGAGGCAGCGAGGCAGAGCTCCATGACAGCAGACAAGTAATCAGACACAGAAAGCAGCGTCTCTGATCTGCAGGAACACCTCCCAGGACTCAGACATTTCTTACACCTGCTAAAGCACTGCAGCTAAATTTAACAACGCTGAAGTGACAGCGTGAACATGACTACCTGTTTGTGCATGTGTGAAGGGTGTGTTTTATTTATAAGTTGTTGTTTTTTGGGGTTTTTTTTAAGCGCAGCAATGATCATGGGAGAGTTGGCTCGTGTGTCAACATTTTCCACCTCAGGTGCCAGATTATTATTTAGTTTGTTTTAAATCTGAGCTGATTTTATTGGAATGCATATGGGCCGCCAAGTGTGAAAAAATGTCACTAAATCCAACTCACTTACATTTAGCTAATTTTTACTAAATGTTATATTTAAAATGTTAAACAATATATGTAAATATTAAATCCTAAATAAATTTAAATGCATAAAACTAAATGTAAAAATTAAATCTTAAACAAAGGTTGCATTTAAATATGTTGAAATGGAACGCAGTTGGTGCTCGAGTTTTGCTGTGACGTAATCATCCTGCGACAAAAGCAACTGTTAATGATGTGCTAGTGAGATTTTGTAAACTTTTTATTTTAAACTTGGCTCTCCATAAATGCAGTGTTCTCAGTTTCATTACAAAAGGACAATCAGTTTAGAGAGCGATCAAATTACACCAGAGGTTTTGGACAAAAAGACAGATAGGCGGATCTTAAACTTTACTCTGGACTCAGTTCAGGTACAACAGATGTCCTTGTTCTGCTGTTGAATGAAGACAAACTCTAAAGGTTCTGTGGTTTTATAAAACCTATCATTCTCACAGCAGTCAGAATGGGTCCTGAGCTGAACCGGAGGGCGCGGTCACGGCACCACCACGAGTTGTGCCAAGCTGCTGTTTAATTCCTGCTTTATTTGTGAACAGAAAACAATGGGCAGTGACATGCAGGGGGCTGGTATGGAGAGGCACAYGGGGAGCTGAAGTAACAAAGTGTTCAGGCCGCCGATGGCAGCCTCATTAATGCAGGGGTCTGGGCCAAGGAGATGGAGCTTGACACCCGCCATCATTGAGGCCCCAATGTCTGTTGCTGAATAAATGCCAGGCTAAGCAAACACAGAGAAAATGAACACACACACACAMACRCRCACGCTGAGGTCTCACCTGTCAAACACATGAAATGATTAATGATCTTGTTGGAAATGATGTCTCACTGTGTCAGGAACAGACTGCATAAATACCGAGGCAATCTCATTGGAAAATGTAACCATAAATTCATGGATTCTGACGCAGCCTCCGCGGTCTGCTACTGTTGTGAAAACCTCATGACACATCATCTGTTGCTGCAGGAAGGAGTGGAAGTGTGGAAGGAAGACGGCAMCACCATCATTTACACACACACACACAAAAAACCCTCCATATCATTTCACTGGAGAGAAACCGTCAGGAATAAACCAGAACGGTGGGCTGAAAAAAAAGACCACCTAATAACCCAGTGTTGAACTAATAAATACAGCAGGGAGAGCAGACGGAGAGCGATACAGACACAAATAATCCAGATTAGAATGCCTAAAGGTTGGAAAATACTTGGATTTACTGGTCTGTCTACTTTCCAACCCTCACCTGTGGTCATGAGGCGTGGATCAGGACCGAAAGAACGAGATCCTGGATACAAGTGGCTGAAATGAGCTTCCTTCGTAAGGTGGCCAGGCTCAGCCTTAAAGATATGGAGAGGAGCTGGTAGAGTTTCCACATCGAAACGAGTCAGATGAGGTGGTTCATCTGATTAGGAGGCCTCCTGGATGTCTCCTTTAGAGGTGTTCCAGGCACGTCTCACTGGTAGGAGGCCCTGGGGAAGGCCCAAGATTTGATTATGTATCCTCTCTGGCCAGGGAACGCCTCGGGGTCCCTCTCCAAACATGGAGAAGATGTTGAGTAAGATGAGAGTAAAGCAGTGGACCGGTCAGAGTTAAAGAGAAGATGGACGAAGCAAGGTAACCCTGTATGGCTGTTCCAGAGGGTTGAGACTGGGTTGGAGGTCCACCTTCCAGCAGGACCATGACCCTGAACACACACCTGAAGTAACACTCCACCTGCTTCAGGAGGAACAGGTAAATGTGCAGGAATGATCCACTCAAAGATCAGACCTCAATCCAACTGAGAATCTTGAGATGCTGGACTCAAACAGCTTCCAGCCAACCTGAAGGAGCCAGAAACRTTTTGAAATTAAGAGTGGACAAATTCCAGAGGTTGGATTGGCCGAGATTATGAAGATAAACCTGAAGAGACTGGATGTTAAGTGGCTAAAGTATTGACTTTAAAGGAAGTTCTTAAACTTAGCACAAAAAGTAATGAAATGTGTGTTTAGGAGATTATTTTGTTGTTGTAACAATGCTTCTTGCATTAAACCTTTTACTGTTAGAAAATCTGTGAATTTTCCTTTTAAATGCTGCCACATTTGTAAGGAACATGCATTTGTGGGATGAGCAGTAGAGCTATAGAATATGTGGGTTGTGCACAAGAAAAAAGACTCAAAACGTCTCTGCCAAACAGYTTAATTTGYTATTATTGACTCTTGTTTTGAGCTTCTGGTACTTCAGGTGCTGCAAAGAAGCAACAAAGAAATAATCTACCAAACACACATTTCCTTACTTTTTGTGCCAAGTGTAGTTATGCACACTGTTAATTTTTTTTCTTGTTTGTTTCAGAGTGAGTYAATATTTTGCACTTACAAAGTGATGCATTGGATTAAAAATACAAATTCACCTCAATTTCTTTTAAATTCCAAGTCGTAATGCAACTAAATCAAAACAATGGCGAAGGAGGTGAATACTTCTGTAACCCGCTGTTCATGATAGTTTCTTTTTAATGATCTGTTTTGTTAATAAATCTTATTTCAGGGAGTTGAATGTGTATTATGTGTATTTTTTTTCCCATCTTGCATTTGTGTGATGAATTTTAAATTTAGTAAAATTCAGGCAAACAAAGCTGTTGGAAACAAACCAAACCAGGTTCTCAAACTGGGGTCCCAGGACCCCCAGGGGTCTGCAAGAGGTATCTTGGGGGTCCGCAAAATTTTTCACTAAATTGTTAATTTCCTTTTTATTTTCAAAAATGCATGGAGAACAATGAACTAATAAAACAAACATAATAAACTAAATAAAAATATATATTCCCATGGCATTTAGGGGTTGAAATGACAATAAATTATATTTTAAAACAGAATGGGGTTTATGAGGGGGTCCCTGGAATTTTTTCGCCTCTGTAAGGGGTTCCCAGACCCAAAAAGAACCTCTGGTTTGCAGTATCTCAGCTCAGGGGTTGCAGCCAACGTAGGCTGCATTTGTTGGCTGTTTACTGCACTGTCCTGACTCGTAGGCACCTACTCATGAATTTGGGGAAGTTAAACATGTATAAACAACTAAAGGCATGTCATATAATGTATCACCATACTAACGGGGCAGTGGGTCTCTGTTCGCAGCCATTTATGATGCAACCCCTGAATTGAGACACAGCTATTGATTTGTTAACAAAAATTATTGCTGACTTTACTTCCTGGATGAACCGAATCTGTTTAAAAGCTCTAATCAACTGTTAATTTTCCTCCAGTCAGCAGGTGTAGATCATTAACATTTCAACCTAAACCTGAAATCTGGATTAGCTGAAGAGCTAAAAGCATCAAGGGAGGGTTAATGAGGAACAYGAGTGAAGCCTGTTGACGACTGCTGGTGGCGAGGAGCGGCTCACGGCTCAGATCTCCAGCTAAGCACGGTCGCTGGTGAGAGAAACTGCAGGAAAGACAGGCCGCTCTGGCCAAATGCTAATTATCCCACTGCYAGCGAGCTGATTGGAGCACAAGTGCACAGTCAGCAGGCGCTAATTGGGGTTTCTTTTATTCAAACCACTGTTTTTATTGAGCAAGGTTTAAGCAGCGGGGAGCAGGAGCTCGTGCAGCTGTAAATTGCAGTTTTCGCACATGAGCAGGAAATTGGGTCTGAAGGCTCGGCATCGAATTAGACATGTGGTTTTCACATGAAGCCCTCCCCTCCTCTTGCTACAGAAAACCTGTGAGTGAGACGCTGCTGACGGAGAAATATAACATAACATTTAAAGAAAAAAAATAATGAAAAAGAGCGCTACTGTGGGGAGAAAAAGAAGATGATCAGCCCTGAGATGAAGCCCAGCTGCACTCGGAGAGGAAAGAAGAGCCACTTGGAGGTACTTGAGTCACCCTGAGTGGAAAATGAACCGTTTTCTTCTTCACTTGATCTACTCCTCCAACAGCCTTTACATTTTACAGCCGTCATCAGTTAACAGTCACTCCCTGATGATAAATAGAGCAGATGTTCTGGCCTTGTCTCAGACGGCAGCCTGCAAAGCTCGTAACTTTAAACGACTCTCCTGTCCACAGCTTCACCCGCAGGAGAGGAGACTGATAATCTGCAGCGCTTAGTGGATCAAACAACATGATTCAAACGTTTTCCTCACCTGGTTTTTGTACAGGACAGGAAGTTTATTTCCTGCTTTTTTTTCTCACTGGAAACTAAAACCAAGAGTTGCAGCTTTCAGCACCATTGACGTGCTTATTGTAGGCTGAATTATTGCCCCCCCATTCCTCAGAAATATCCCTCTCACATCAAGTTTACAAACTATCCTGTGGAGGATCAAAACTGACATGATTAGAAATAAAAGTAGAAATATATAAATGGACCAATGAATACACTTAAATGCACCAATTATATTAAAAAAAGGAGAGCTTTACCTCATTTTTATAATTTAATTGAACTTCATATTTATTTTTCCAGTTTAGTTCCAATAAATCATATATTTGGGATGAACAAAGAACAAGCAGAGGGTCCACATCTATCCCTCGTTTGAGTCTTTTCTGTGAGAGTTCGTTATTCGCACTGAATGAAGCATTCAAACGTCGAATGKTTGAGTTTCAGAGGCGTCTCCGGTGGAGCCCGGCTGTCATACGACCTTAATGCTGGGGACAAGGCGGGACTCTGGAGAGACACCGAGTCCTGTGGACAGACAGGATGGAGACAGCCTGATTTCTGGCAGCACAACAACTCTGTACAAACCACTAACACGCGGGAGGTGATCTACAGGTGCAGTTATGGGATGGCAGAGGGCCACTGAGAGCGGGCAGAATTTCCACAGTCTCTTTGATACATAAAAAACGATCAACTCGAAGCGAAATCCAGATCTGTGGCTTTTGATGTAACGGAGCGTCTGTTTGAAGAACAGATGAAAAGGAAAAGCATTACGAGAGACAGGATAAGAGGGGGAGAAATGGGCTGAAATTACACTTCTAGGAATCACTCCATCCCCTAAATGGATTACAGCGACGGGCAGAAAGGCAAAATGAACTCCGGTTGTGGCCTCAGATGTGTCTCGGTGTGTCACAAAGAAGAAGGAGCCGGRGAAACGTGGCGGCTGATGGCTGCGCCGTGTCACAAGGCTGCCGGAGTGAGGCAACAGGCGCAAGCACTCAGCAGACTGCCTCATGCTGGCTGATCTCCTGGGGGCTGGCTGATTACTGTGATTCTGAAATTACAGGCTTGATGAGCGGGAGCATTTGATAAAAAAAAAACTTCTGTAGAAATGGGTCAGGCTGGGACTGGGTTTCCAATCAGAGAAGGAGAGGGGAAGAAAGATGTAGGCTTGTTTTTTTTCTGATTAGGTCAAAGCTGGCTAACATAATGAGTTGTAATCAGTTTCAGCCGGATTATAGTGGAAACGATGAAACTGACAATATAAGATTTAGGTCTGATCAGGCACCTGCTGGACTAAATATACATTAAAGTAGAGGAATCATTTCTTCAATGAACAAATACTACAACAGATGATGCGTGTACTTGTACAGTTTTTAGCCCCTGACACAGAAAGGCAGACGATAATGTTTGTGTCAGAGCTTGTCTGTACGCAAAATATCTCCTGAACCATTTGACCTTTTTACAGTTACTAATGCACACGTGTACCACACCCCAAAATACATTCATGGCTTTTCCAGTACTCATGATCCATATTCAGCTCTAGTCTTTTGGTTCTTCACACCTGCTTTTATATTTCCTTTACACAAACATGCTRTTTGTTTTATTGGCAGTTTATGTTGGGATGGTGAAATGTCGTCAACATGCCGTGTAGCAGGCAGTGGTGGGTGCAGTTCCTCTAAAGCACTAAAGCACTAATTGGGGAACWATTTTCCTGATTAGTGCTTTAGGGCTTTTACTATTTTTTAATTCATTAGTGGATTAGCACTTGCTAAATTTATGGGCTGAATTTAGAAGCACTAACTGAGGTCTTTAAATTTTATTGATCAATATTATTGTTCAGAGTTGAGGGTGAAAGCTGTCACATACTTTGTTCATATGCGTGTATCTACAAGGTCACATGTGTCAAACTCAAGGCCCACAGGCCAAATGTGGCCTGCGGGTGACTCCCATTTGGMCCAGCAAGGCACTAAGTAACAACATTCTGCACACAGTAAATATTRTCTCATGTTGACTCTGAGGAATGGATTATATYAGTGCTTTAGAACAAGGAGACCTAAATATTTGAGTTAGTGCTTTAGGGTTAGTGCAACTAATATTTAGATTAGTGCTGCCCACCTGGTAGGTGGATGTCCAAATGCACTATGGTTARATATAGGGCTGGACAACATGGCTGAAAATGTATCAAGATATAAGCATTTCAGATCAGTCACTATTGATAATTGTTGATTAGTTTTTGTTTTAGTTTGAAATAAGAAGCAAGAGACAAGATGCTGAAWAATCCTGCCAAACTGGTGACCTTTCCTCTTTTGTTCACAATTACTTCTAGAGCTTMGTTTTCTCCTTTCACTTAAAGTAATTTTTTATTATTTTGAAGCAGTTCTGAGGCAAAACAACAACCTGCTGCACGTTAGTCAACAGGCTGCTGCTGGCCGACCAAAGACTGAGTTAAGCTGATGCCACCAACCTTGTTCAGCTGGGCTGTGAGAGGTGGAGCAGCAAGYCTTTCCTCTGCCTCCATGCCAGAACGCTTTGCAGGTCTGGATCAGACTTCAGTGAAATTATCACGTATTTTCCATCGATAATGATCACGTGTCTACTGCGACAGCTATTATTGATTTATTGCCCCTAGTAGGCATGAGTCTATCTAACACTGAGCTTAATTATTTGTAAAACCACTGGATATGCATCTGTAAACAAATATGTTTTAAAGTCAGTTAGGTTAAAGATGGTGGCCATCACTTTACAAAACACAAATTGGTTTACAGTAAATCCACGCAAAGTTGTGTTTCACAGCTAGAAGACTKGGTTTTTTCATGGAACCTAACTAGTTTGCTGTAATTTCTGCAACTTTGCAGAARCTGGAAATACTTGCACAGTCAATATTATTAATTTAGGTGAGTTACCATACATTTTACTGTATTCTTTTTCAATTAAATTCTACTCATACAGTGTATTTTATGTAATAGGAGCAAAATCTGCAGTTACAGGYCTTTTTTTGTTCAGCATAAAGTGATCTTAGTTAAAAATTTAAGGACATGGCGATATGCATTCCCTTAAAGAACACTAGGCCTTTATTCATTTAGCACATATTCATCTCCATCACGAGTCAGCTGGTCAGCTTTTTCAGGCATTTGCTGACCTTAACTCTTCATTTGTGCTGCTGGCCCTCGTAGCCCTAAGTGTCTAGTTTGTCAGCAGAGTTGTAAAATTTAAACACATTGAATTCAGCTGGCAAGCTCCGACAAGTCTGCTGTTCAACCAGGGCAGCAGATTGCATCTTAAATTCATTCGCATTACAAGATCAGCRGGGCAAAACCACTCAGCCGCAATCTGTCTGCGAGTCTGACAGTAACTTACTCCTCCTGATGGTGAAAATTAGGCGAGATGGCCGTGTTTAACACGCGACGGTGATGGTGGCGCTCTGCTAAGCACACACAGGACCGTGCTGTTGTGACAGACAGAGCTTCGTGGGTGAAGAGGAGGGGCGAGCTAGTTCATCGGCAAATTAATGGCGCAGTTCATCCTAATTTCTCCTTGAAGACAGATTTGTGGTTTTACAGCACRAAAATACTCTCTTCTTTTCAACGCAGGGCTGCAGAGATGAGCTGTGCCAGGTTTGGCACTGGGATTTAGTGTCGAATTACAACAGCTTGGTTTGTGCGTGCTGAGATCAGTACTTACATTTCTGAAGTCCAGTGTTCATCTGCGTGTGGGGGAGAAGCTGGAGGGGGAGGTCACCTGGCCCTGGCAGACAGGCCAGCATTTCACACAGACACTAATGCAACATGGGACACACACTTCTCCTCACACTGCAGAGASAGAGAGACAGAGAGGGGGGAGAGGTCAGATATAACTGCAAGGCAGCACATGGTGCATGGTGATACGGAGGCTGGGTCTGAACTAATAAAACTCTGGAGCTGGTCCCCAGAGGCACAGAGCTGTGGGAGACATAGTTAGCTTTCAATTAGGAACTGATTCACACCTGGAGCATCAGGTAAGGTGACATTTGAAGCCAATAACAACCTCAATTAAACATCAAACAGCTGAAGTAAAACCAGCAGACTGGGCCCGAGGGTCTGGCAGTTTAAATTTGAGTCAGCCGGTCCACCTCCTCCTCCAACTCGCCCCGCACATGGTAGCCCCCAAGTTGGACCCCACTGCGTGCACTTCACCTCCTCTCCTCCATCAGACCACAGCACAGGAAGCTGCAGCAACTTGTGTTCTGGGAAAAAGCAGCAAACGCTGAGAGCCGAACAACAGCCGAAGAAGCCGAAACTGTTCTAAAACAAAATTAAAGCAAGAAAAAGCAAAACAGTAAAAAGTGAAATGAAACAAAATGCTAGTTAAAAGTAGCAAAACATAAAAAGTATGCTAAAGCAGATTTAAAAGAATGTCTCAAATGTCTAAAACACTGAAGAGGTCTCAGTCTCTTTACTTGAAGTAAAATACAGAATTAAAACGTTAAAATAATGTGAAAAATAAAAATTGTAACCATTAAAAATTGCAGCACTCATCTCCTGAATGAACAGAAAGTTTTGACAAATGATTGGCTAAAATACAAAGTATGCAGAAGTAGGCAGATGTATGGAAAAGTCAAACAGGAAAGCAATAGTGTGAATGCTGACTCAGCGTTTGAACTCCTAAAAGTACCTCTCTGAGTGCAGACTCAGTCTCACATTAAGACAGCTGTCCTCTGAGCTACGTTAAACTCTGGAGCCAGATGAGGACGCGGAGAGAAGTAATTAATGAACTCTGCTGTGGCTCCTATAAATGTTGTCCACTTTGTGTACTAACTTGGTGTAAGAGAGTGTAGTTAGTCACGCTTCACTTGGCCTGCTACTGTAATCAAAACACCACAGATGCTTGCTTAATCAGCACCGAACAACAGTCAGGGAGCAAATTAAGTCTACAGAGTCCGTGCCCTCCCCCGTTTGCTGCGCCGCATCAGAGGAGGGCGGCAAGTGTGCGCAGACAAACWGCTTCTATGAGAGAGGCAATTACCCACAAAACAACCTTGGCATGCCTGCCTGCCGCGGGGTGACAGCTTAAAAGTATCTCACCCCCTGCGGGGAGAAAAGACAAGAGCAGGAAAGAGTGACAAAGTGGGAGAGAAAGGTGGAAAGACAGACGGACGGGTGGTGGGTTCGGAGTGTCGGGGAGGGCTGAACTCCCTTTAAAAAGCAGGAGCTCAAAAAGGTCAGGACGACAGCTCATTTAAATCCTCCCAGTGAGAGAAGAAAAACAAGGCTTAATGAAGCTGCCAGTGATACACAGATACCTGAGGGCGTTGCACCTCGGAGCGCCGCGGGGGCAGAGTGGCATGGGGGAGGCAGGGAGAAGCTGGTGACGCCTCAGACAGATCTGAGAATTTTAGAGCCGTTTTTAACCCATGATGCTGTGTCACCCCTTTTTTTTTTCCGTTACCCAGCCTCCCCCACTCTGATCCTCCTGCCTTTGCCCTGCTCTCTGATTTACAGCCTGGACCGCCATATGGCAGCAATCCCTGCCCTCGATACAGCGTGTCACCATGCATTAACTTTAATTGGCCTGATATGTTATTCTTTTCCCTCTGGCCTTGGAAGGATTTTTAGGTAGACAGAGCCTTGATGTCAGCAGGCAAGATTTCCAAGCTCTCTCTCTCATTTATCAGGTTGCCAAGATTTCACACAAAGATAACGACGATGTCTCCCAACAACAGCCAGGTTCAGAATCAGGGTGGAGGAAACCTACAAGTCAGACAGAAGCTTTCAAAAGGGTTTCAAAGGCAAAAGAGCTGAATGACAAGTGGAAAGAAAACAAAACAGCACATACTGTCAGAGCCTTTATAAGAACACATAAACACACAAGAAACCATCCAGCGGGCCAACCTCCCCACCTCCTTGATTCTCCCACAGCGCCCCTGAATGTCAGAAAACCGTGCAGCGGGGAGCGCAGCGGCAAAGGTCAGCCTATGGTAATGCCCGGTCTGACACGCTGCTTTACAGCGAGGAGCAGGAGGAGATGAAACCCGACAGACAGGATTCTGATGTCCACAAACTCGCCTATCAGCAGCACTGCCACGGCGACTTCAAATATAGTATCACACACACAAAACGCTGGCACTTTCAACAAAGGCGCACAACCCCACGGGGGCTTTTTTAAACACACCGGCTATTTGAAGCTGAATGACGACACCTGACGGGATCAGATCCAGACAAGGACTCTCTGCTGTTTATACTCAGGACATGATTGGCTCAGCTGCTAGAGTCCCCAAAAAAAGATAATCAGCTGATACTGGCGACTTCGGAAAAAAAAATCGTCTATCAGTCATGTCTACGTACACTTAATTGATTGCAAAGTAGGAAAATGAGAAGGCAGCAGCTATATTACCTCTCTGTAGCAACAATTTAATTGTTTCAAAGCAGGACTTTATATTATTTTTAAGTGTGCAAAGTTTTATAAAGTTAAAAACATAGCTGTTTATGCTTTTCAATGGTGCATTTGCCCTTGTGTTTATAGTTTCATAAGTCTATGTAAGATGTAAAACTCAAGGCCTGCAGGCCGAATGAGGCCCACCACAGCATTTTATGTTTCCCTCACGAGCTTTAAAGAAGGCTTGTGACATGCACATCCTTCAAATACAAACAGTAAAGAAAAAAAACATCTTTATATTTAAGAAACTTGGCATTATACACAATTTAACCCGTTTTGTTATATAATTGGCATTTTTTCTTTTGAACTTTACTCAGCCAAAGTGAAACAGGAAGTGACATCAAAGGAGAACTCTTTAAGAAAGAAAATTGCATGGCGTTTGTTTACGGAAACAATATTTTTCAAACTCTGACTCTTCTTCACCTCCCTATTGATTAAAAAAACTAATGAAACATCAGATCCTTCTCTACAGTTTGTGTTGGCAGCTGTTGTAGCAATGCTTTGTTTACATTCAGACAATCCCCTTTGACATCACTTCCTGTTATTCTCTTGCAAATATCTCAACAACTGTTCATCCCAGTGGCATGAAAATTGTTTAGCAATATATTATTAATGTTGTTTTTCCAAAAATGCATTCACATATATATAGTATTAGAAAAATGGATGACAGCCTCCCACCATTAGGTGGAGGTGCACAGGGTGCAAAAGTAGCCAGCAGCCAGTGTAAAATCACCATTGTGCTTCATTTTGTCAGCTATATTTGCTGAGGCCCTGTTGTACTGGGAAGTGGGAATTTTCCACTTGTATGTTGCATGCTGCTTCAGTGGAAATTCCCTGTCAGAAAGTGGGAGAGTTCAGAATTCAAGATGGCAGCTACTCACCACTACTTAACAGTAAACAAAACTCTTAGTTTTACTTTTAATAGTATTTCTGTATGTTTATTTCACATTTAATCACTCGTACACAGAGTACTTTTCAGTGTTTTAAAGAGGACATGTTAAAACACTGTTTCTATGCGGGAAATACCAGGTGGAGCTCGGTTATTGTTTGTTAGCGGTGCTCATTCGTAGCAATGTGACATTTTCTGTTTAGTCGAGGTTAAACGCTAAACATCAAAGTTAACTACAACTGGCCCTTTGAGGGCCACCATAATGCTCATGTGACCCTCAGCGAAAATGTCTCTATAGGTTTGACTGCAGCCAAAGGGGACAGTGTGCTATTTGTCAAATGAACTGTCTTTTCAAAAAAACAAAAAGGAGAAACAAAGTTCGAGTGATTTCTCACTAAGAAATTGGTGCCGCTTTTTGTAATCTTGTGGCCCCTGAGGGATAAATTATTCAAATGCTGATAAAAGTAAGTCTACCCAATCACTTCTTCAGATTAAGTGTTGTTTTTCCACATCTGCTTGTGGTTTGACCCCAGGTCTTGTGAGTATGTTGTATCTTTGGCGCCACCGTTATCCTGCAGAACACAGTCACAGAGGCTACAAAATCTCAGCGAGCAGGTAAAGATGACAACAAAGATTGGAGTCAGTCACAGAGAAACTTATATCGGTTGACCTCTTGTCCTTAATGCACTCTGACCATCAGGCAGAGGCTTCATTGTGGTCTGAGTAAAGCTGTGACCCCCACCACCCAGACAAACTAGGTATCTTAGTAGAGTCAAACTGATGAGAACAGAATCAGAGCTGGATCTGCCAAGTCCCAGTAGAACTGAGCCGGACTGAGAAGCAGCATTGGATTCAGTGGAGTCCAGCCAGGCAGCTCACACTATCGACCCCTTGCAGACAGACACCAAGGGGTTCTCAAAGTATTAGTGGGGAGGGGGAGTGTGACTCTGCAAGTATCTGCCAGCTACTTATAGAGCCGTAATAAAAGTGTGTGTGAATAACTGTGCAGACAAATAAAAAGGCGAGCAGACAAAGAGGGACTTGAGCAAGTGATGCACATGGCTTGTGTCATGTGTCAAATTGCTCCCATAAAAGCTGACCTATATTTCCTATTCATTCCACGGTGGGGAAGGAAAAGGAAAAAAGAAAAAAAGGGAAGCAATCTAACGGTACAGAAAAAATATGAAAAGAATAGAAGAAAGAACAGGAGAGATGGAGGCTATTCAGTCAATCGAACCAGATGCTTTTTTTTTTTTTTTTTGGATCAATGTCATCTCTGCTTTGGAAACTTTCTATTAAAATACCTGACGACACAATGGCCGATACACAAAAAAACTCATAACAACAAGAAGAGGTGAAAAACAATGACGAAAAATAAAGGAATAATATTCCATGAAGGTATGAATCCCTCTTAAAGCCAGAGTTTATAAACTAAGATGCTCTTAGGAGAAGGAACAGAGTTACAGCTGTACATGACGTTACATGTGATCTCATGCACTATTAAGACTAACAAACAGTTAGCACTCAGAGCACGTGTTGAAGATGACTTTCAGCTACTACCACTCCAAATTTGAACTAAATATCAATAAAATTACCTGAGATCCAGCAACTTTTATGTAGGCTACGGTCGATTAGCTATGAACTCCAACAGTTCATGTCAAACATTAAAGCAAAGATGTTAATAAAATGGGTAGAGCTCAGAGAAAGTGTTAAACGTGATCAACTACTACTAGGCCTGGGTGATAAAACGATAACAATATATATCATGAAAGATGCAATCAACAAACAGAAAACACGTTAGATAGAATGTTGATCATTTTACTGAACTTGGATCCAGAACTGCACGGCATTCTGGGGGATGTAGGCAGAGGAAAGGCTTTAGCTGCTCAACTCTCGCGGCCTAGCTAAGCAAGGTTGGTGGCATCAACTAACTCACTCACCCTTTGGTCAGCTAGCATCAACCTGTGCAGCAATAGTTTCACGAAACACTTAAACCGTGATACATTTTTCAGTTATATCGCCCAGCCGTACCTACTACGCTTTTATTAACCCTGGGAGTACATAGGTATCGGGGTACATAGGTACGTTCCCATCTTAAATTGGGTTGACTTTAAATATTTGATTTGTAGATTTACATCCAAATATTACTTCTTGGGAGTTTCATTAAAACATGTCCACAGGATCTCAAGATATTTAGCTAACACTACAGACGAACCAACACAAAGACACAGGTTAATGCGTTGTCACAATTTCGCCTTCAGCCGAGGCCAGTAAAAGGAAAAGGAGAGTGTTTGGTTGTTTTTTTTGCCCAATTATGAGAAAAAGGCAATTAGCAAAGCAAGTCAACAAGCTGTACATGACTTGTGCTTGTGGCTGAAGGAGAGGAGAGTGGAGGAGAAAGCAAGCTGCTGGTATTTTAATTGCATGTTTACCCCCAGGTTATGGGTCTGAAATAGAGCCAAGGAAAAAAAATGTTGCTGCAGTCATTCAATGTAACTTTACTGTGTTGATTCTCTCAGGGACAGAGAGAATGAAATTACTTTTCTTTGCGAGCCGAGTCTCTGAATAGGAGGTAAAGAAGAAGAGGGAAAAAAAAGAAGCTGGAAGATGAGAGGAGCTTCTTACAAGCCGAAGCTTTTTGTGAAAAGGGGGGAGAATAAAGAAGAAAGCCTTGGCTCTTAAGCGCGCTGCAAAAAAAAAAAAAAAAACCTTCATTAAGCCATTAGGCTTTACAAACAGAGGCAGAAAAGAATTTCTGTTGTTGCTGTTTCACATAATGCATCTTGATGACTCCAGCACATCCCGAGGCGTTTCGTTTGCTTGCTCCAGCCTCGTCAGCTCAGGATGTTATCTCTAGAAGAGAATTAGAGGAATGCATATCGCCCTCTGCCTTCCCTGTCAGAGTTTTAGACTCACACCATCTTGTGTGGAAAAATAATGGAATTGTAGCTGTTTTGGTTAAACCTTGAAAAGAGTAGAGGATCCGTCTCAGCTATTTAAATCTCCACATTTTAGCTCAACATCTGTAAAACTGACCAAGCTGTACTCATTTGTGACTCTTGATGGGGATAGGAGTCTGAATGAGCAATTTTTCAATGTTGAGGAATTTACATTTTCAAATTCTTAATCTCAAAAACTTCAAAATGATCAGTGGCTTGCTGAATGTTTGTGTTTTATGCCCTGCCAACAAGCTACGTTACGCTCATAAAGTAAGGGATATTTGGTGAGGTTCTGTTCATCACTTGTTAGGTGTCGTCTTTGTCTCATGATGTCAAAACGTAAACAGCTTTATTGGTCCATTCAAGGATCAAACCTGTTGTGAAATTTGACTTTAAGCTTCTTGTTAGAGAACAGCATGTTGCGCAATCAAAAGTTTCATTAAAGCACCTGTGACATCAAATTTTTCTAATAAATATGAATGCATTTTTGGAAATATAACGTTACTAAAATATTGCAAAAAAGAAAAATCACACCACTGAGATGAACATTTATTGAGATATTTGCATGTGAAGTAACAGGAAGTGATGTCAAAGAGGAGTGTCTGAATGTGAACAGAATGTTGCTACAACAGCTAACAACACAGACAGTAGAGAATAATCTTATTTAGGTTAT